CAGCCCTTTTTAATTTGTTTATTTTTGAGATAGGTCTTGCCAGCCTGGACAGTGAACCTCCTGTTTATGTTTCTCTCAGTAGCTGGGATGGCAGACATGTAACACCACGCCCAGTTTTTTCTGTTAAGGTGGAGTGACACAAACTTTTTGCTGGGCTGTCCTGGAACCCTGATCCTCCTGACCACCACCTCCCAAATATCTAGGATTACAGGCATGAGCCAAGCAGGATATGAGTCTTGTTTATGCATATTAATCTTGCTCATGTATCTTAGTCTTATGTTCATGCTACTATAAACATTGACAAATATCCTGTACTAACCTGTTTACCAACTTATCCAACTGTCTCTAAGGTAAATGCCTATAATTAGAAGTGTTAGATAAGAATGAATATAAAGTATATATGTTTTAAACACTTATTCATAACAGTCTGCCTAGCCCTTTTTTTGATCATTAAAAAAATTTAATACTAATAAACATTTTCTTCTCTCAGAAAGACACAAAATTCTGAAATATTCTAACCACATTTAACAAGAAACCCTTACTGACATAAATATTAAATATTTTACAAACAGAATAATCTACATACTAAAAATACTTTCAATAAATTTTCTCTCACATTTTGGGGAGGTTATAGTACAGACTCAAATGGAATGAGGATTGCTTCAATTAGGACCGTTATTTTTGTAATTTCATCTTTCACAGCTTAGTGTGTATGTCTGCAGTCTTACCGTTGATGAAATAGAGAAATGTAATACTTTCCATCTCTTAGCAGTTTTGTAACAGATCAGAAAACTATCCTGTATGGGGCATTTCCTGCAGGAAATCAGTTGTTGTGAAGAACCCTTATGGTTTGTTTCTTCACTGATTTCAGAATGCTTCCAGTATGCTCATCCCAAGTTCTGAGTGACTGCCTAGTCTATTTACCTGGGTTGGGCTGCTTCTTGAACTGGAGCAGATGATATGTATCCTTTAAATTAATGGATGAGGTAGCTTAATCAATGTAATCACCAAGGGCTGACATGAAGGGAAAAGGAAGAAAACAGAAGTTTTTCCTATCAACCAACATGTATGTCCTTCTCACTTACACATTACACAACTTTGGAGAGGTAAGAAAAAAGAAGAAAAGAAGAGTGGAAGATTAATCCTGAGAAAGTATGTGAGAGAACGGATGAAAATGTCTCACCTAAGTGGTGTCCTGTTTCCCCAGTCAGGTGGCCACATTTTCATTTACATTTCTATTTTCCAACATTCTGAACTGTAAGATGCATTTCATCAGATAAACCATACACACACATATATACAATATACAGTATGACACTGGACACCAACTTAACATGCTCACGACCAACACATGAATGTAAGGCACTTTTGCGGTTTACAAAAGTGAATGCCTCAAAGTTAGATATTTAACTTTTGAAAGCAATTTACCAGTATGTATTAAGGTCTCCGGATAGGTTCCTTGATGGGGGGAGATGACCTGCTGAGTTGTGCAGAGGTAGCAGGGTGTGGCCCGGTAAGCAGTAGGGTGGGGTGGAGAGAACAATGTCCCTGCCCAGAGGGAGGGGCTACTGGGTGTCAGAAACTGTGATAGTGACAGGTCACAATGGTTAGGAGGATAAAATCAGTCCCTACAGGGTTAGTTTAGGAGGAGGTGGATGCCTCCATTTAGGAAAGAGAAGAGCAGTTGAAGTTATGAAGTCAAAGAGCAGAGGCTGCTGTGAACCAGTATGTCAGACTCAAGTGTTGGTCCCTCCCAAATGGGCACCCTCATCTGTGCACCCTGACATCTATGAGGGCTCCAACATCTGCAATGGCCTGACATCTTTGTGCCACCACATCTCCATGCACTAGGCAGGGCACTGTCTGGATTCAGGGGCCCAACTGCCTGTGGCACGGAGCAGTTGCTAAACAACACCCCACAGGATTTTCAGTTACCAAGAGACAAAAAAACTTGCAGAAGACAACAGATTGCCCACTTGCCAGAGATGTCAGGGAAACAGGACATTCTGTAAGTATGGGAAGGAAGGTGTGGTGCAGCCCCTAGGAGCTATCTTGATCAAATATAGCCATGAACAGTCAAGTTTTGTTGCCTTACTACACAGCACAGAGCAGTCCTGCAATGGGCATGTTTAATACCTCCATGGGGAAACTGCAGCAACAACTGTATAAAGGGGAGTATACCATATTCAGGTATGCACCAATGTTTGAGAGTGACTTTATCCAGATTAGCAAAAAAGGAGAAGTGACTGATGTGCACAACCATGCCCGTATGGTGACTGTGGGCATTGTTCGCACTAGCCCCAGCCTCACACTACCTGATGTCATGCTGCTGGCCAGACCAGCTGCTATTTCTGATGACTATGCCAGATGTGGCCTTGCCACCCAAGAAAGAGGCAAGAAGCATGCACAGATCTTAGAACTAACCAGGCTGCTTCCCTTGAAGTTTGTCAAGATAACCATCCATAACAGTTACAAACAACAGCTCCGCCTGAAGCTTGCCACTGGCCGTTCTTTTTACCTTCAACTGTGTCCCCCTTCAAATACAAGAGATGATCTTTTTGTTCACTGGGAAAACCTTGTTTACATCCTGAGACCATCAGTGGAGGCTTACAGCCATACCCAGATTATCCAGGCCAAGAATACACTTGACATAGCTGTGTTTGAGGAAAAGGACAAGAATTCGTTGGTAAGTCTTTGCAGAGACTAGAAGCTGGAGTCTGGCCATTTGAGGGAGGGCAGATAAAGGTCCTGAACAGCCTTTAGTGCTGAGGTAGACCCCGGAAAATGTATCACATTTGAAAGGGCTCAAGGCCAAATAAGCCTTTATTTGGAAGACATGGCACATTGGAGAAGTTCTTAGTGCTTCTCTAAATCTGAATTTCAGAGATTCCTTAGCTATCAGCAATTCTTAATTTCATATGAAAGGTGCAGTGCCATCCACAGCCTGTTGATTACCAATCTACTCCAACCTAAGTAAGCTGATATCCTGTGGGACATAATGTCTCCCTATGATTGTCACTTAAACATGTCATTTGTGCAACAATTTCTTCTTGGTTCGCTTTGGGAAAAGAAGGGAAATCTTGTTGGTGTCAGTTGCTTTATTTCACTCATTTGTTCTCCCCACAGGCACATGCCCTGAAGTTCTCTGGAGGGGATAAAGATCAACTCAGCTTCGGGAGCCTTTCCATAAACCCTGAACTGTTTGGGCCCACCTATTTTGATTATTCTAGGGAGGAATGAATCCAATCCCGTCTTCCACACATACTGTTTTCAAGAGTTTACACATTCCTGTAGTCACAAAACCTAATAAAGGGACAAGGATAGCTGCAGGAGTAGTGGTGACAATAAGCACCACTGCAGGTGCTATGAATTTGACTACAACCAAGTCTGCAGATGGAAGATAAACAGCACTAGCAAGAAGAACCTTCATAGGCCCAGGAGGAAGCACAGCCAGCATGGCCATACTGGTGCTTAGGGCATTTAATATTGTTACTATATGGGATGCAAGTACATTCTGTCCTCCAAGCGTAACTTCAAGCACCTTAACAGGAGTTGCTAGCCTCTCCTCATAGGGTAGCATGAGTATGGTGGCTGCAGGAGCAGAGATTACTGGTAAGCCTGTTGCAAAACCAGGTAAATGTTCAGAATGGGGACCGCTCCTGCCATCCAGCCTTCAAAGTGAAGGCTACATGAATACACTGGATGGAAGCCAGAGGATCTCCATTCCATCAGGGTTAACTATTTATAGTAAAGAGCCTCAAATCCCTATACTACACATGGAGCAGAGGTGGACATCATCTAAGATTATGGAGGAAAGCAAATTTTCACCACAGTACAATCCATCAACTCAAACTCTCTGCTCTATAAAACAGAAAAAGTAGCAATAAAACTAATAGCAATTTCTAATCAGCTCTGAACTTGAACTTTCCTTTAATTTGACATTTTTGATTAAATTAATAGACAAAATAACATGTTGAAGGTTACTCTCAAAGACATAATCCTGCATAACAGCAAAAGAGAATGCTAAAACTTTGAAAATAAAGCATATAAACAAAAACAAAAGCAATCAACAGGAAGTGGGAAAAATGTAAGTGAAGCCAGGAAAGCAGTCTGATAACATAATTTTTTAAAATCTAGGTTTGAATCATAGCCTTGTCACTCAGTAATTGTGTCTTTGAATTAAATATTTGTTTCCTCCTTTAAGTGTTTACCTTGAGAATCAGAAACTATATAGTGGAATATCTGGCACCTAGTAAGTGCTGTGTAATGGCAGTGATTCTTGTGGTCAGGAATACAGTGAAACAAATTTGAATTTGATCTATTTTCTAAAAAGAGCTTCATTGATTTCCCTTCCAATTTGCTATCCAACTTAAATTTTATTTAACTGCCTCAAAATTATTTTATAAAATCTCTATTGACACTAGATCTTAACATTTTCTAAAAATTGTAATTACCTGATAGTGCTTAGATCTCTAAACTTTCATGAATTTAAAAGCAATTGCTCATCAAAACTTCAGTTCAGTCACAAGAAGAGAATAAAATGCCATATAATATATTCATAAGCATGAACTCCAAAGTACCCATCTTTTAACCATTCATTCCAATTTTAGTATTCTTGGGGATAGAAAAAACTAAAACCTGAATCAAGGATCAATTAAAACCCTAGACAAAAGCTAGAAATTAAATCAATGTTCTAATTTTGCAAGTAAAAATTTTGCTTGAGTTAAAAAGTGATACACCCAGGGCCAGATAAATGGGCAATCTTGGACCCAATTAAATCTGTACTCTTTTCATAATATTTATGATTATGAAATTCAACAATATTCTTTGACTATAAAAGATGTTTAATACATGTTTATTGGATTCAATTAAATAAGGATTATTAATATAAATAGAATTTATTCCAATCCTACAATTTGGGTATATAAAAATTAACTTATTGCACTGATTCTAAAGGATCCTGTAGCAGACTATAAGGAAATGGTTTTTCATTAAGCCCTATAAATGCAGAGTGTCTATGGTTTAGTGATTCTTAATAGACTCCTGAAATGCTTGTAAAGAAATTACTTCCTAATATGAGAAATACTTTGTAGTTTGGATGTTTTCATTTTTCAAATTCCAAGGTTATATTATTGAGAAAGATATCTAATCATAAATTACTATAGAACAAATAGCTTCAAATTAAAAACACTTTCATATTTTTACAATAAAAATAGTTTCATGTGGCATGGAGTTTCATTTCAATACATTTGATGCTGATGACACCCTAAATGATTTTAAAACAGACATACTGTTAGGTCTATGAAGCTAGGGATCAGATATCTGTATTTGAAGGCATTTGGCTTGCTTTTATACACCAAGGTCTCTAGTAATCACTGAATGGATGGCTATTAAGAGCATTGCCTATCTTGTATTTCTTTTCTAATGCTTCAGTAAAAATACTGTTTGTCTGTCTCTATCTCTTTTTAAATTTCACATTTCCTTTGTAAATACTCTCTTCTTCTGCTTCTGACTACAAATCCTCATGCTCATGTCACAAAGTTTTCTTGCAATTCTGAAATGACACATATCCTCACATCTTTTAATCAAAAGTATGAGAAATTAGGGATAAATAATAGAAAAACATTTAAAAAATATTATTTGTGAATGGCTGAATCAGATACCCAGAAAATCCTAGGTAACTAAATGAAAGACCAGATAAGCTCAAAGATGATGCAAGTTGCATATATATATTTTTAAATTACAAAATTATAAAACTCCTCAATATAGTTTTTCAATTAAAATATGCCAAAGAAGATTCCATAAATAATAATGCTCATAGGCATACACACACACATTCTTAAAAGTTTATGGTGAAATGAATAATAGTAAAAGAAACCTACCTTTTGTTTGGCAGATTAAATCCAGCAAAAATAGAATATTGCATGTCAAGTAAATTTGTAGGTTTATGAAATAACAGTTAAAATTCTAATATGGACAAATTTTCAACTTTACAAGTAAGGTAAATAAAGATTTTTAAAAACATGCATTTAAGTCAGTTAATAGCTTTAATGTAATAAAACAAAGTAATGCTACAAAAACTGAGTCACATGATTTATATAGTAGGAAAGCAGAAATAACAGATTTCAGAAGCAAATTCAAAACATACAGGATGAAATAAAATGAGAGGCATGTGAGCTGCAATTCAACTGAAAGTCATAGGGAAACTACCTATCAACAAATAAAAATCACTATGGGCTCATATTTGGCATTTATGTTTAAAGGACATCTAACTTTGAGAAGTTTAATGAATTTCATAGTTTAAAAAGCTACAAAATATACATATATCCATATAAAATGCTACAGATTGGGAAACATTTTGTGGTAAAGTAACTACTAAAATTTTCACATCTATAATATCTGAGGAAGTAAGAAATTTATTAAATTTATTTCAGTCTTCACAGGAAGACAGCTGAAGAAAAATCTACCATTTAAAATTGTAAATTAAGGATGAAAGTGTGGCTCAAATGGTAGAGTGCCTGCTTTGCAAGTACAAAGCCCTGAGTTCAAACTCCAGTCCCACCAAAAAAAAAGAATGTAAATTAAAAGCAATTCACTACCAATCATAACAAAATGATAAAATAAAAACAATTTAGATTAATCATAAGTAAGGTGTTGCATAACCAGACATGATCATATTCTCAATGATTTTTTGATTAACAGGTAATGTATTGGTAGTAAAAGCCCTAATATTTTGTTCAAAGAATTCTACTTTTAAGATATAACACAAAGTAACAAAAATATATTTTTACAAAGACATGAATTTTATGAGAGAAAAAACTGGGTAAAGATATTCTGTTATTGCAAAGCTGATGTGGGTAGATGAATAAAATAAAATTTGTGTTTTTAATTTCCTTTTCACTTTACCCATGTAGATATGAACTAAAGTCTATACCATATGTGAAAACTTTAAGTGAAGACACAAAACCCTAGAATGTGCATATTTGTTCATTCAACTATTCTGAGTGTATGCCAGGAAATATGCTGATATTAGACCACAGATTTTTAGCATAAAAGGACTGAATTTCTATCTATAGAACTCACAGTCCAATACATATTAACAACGGTTCTATAATGATTATTATGTAAGCTATCTTAAAAGTCCTATGAAGAGATTTTTAAATGCTATGTATTGATATGAATATCCTTTTTAGCTTTCTACCAAAAATAATATTGGAACGTGATTGTTGATGATCAAACCGTGAAACAGACATGTGAAAAACAATGGTTTCACACAAGTGCTTCACATTTGTTGCAAAACAGAAAAAAATATTTTTAGATATAACACTTTTCTGGACAATTACTATGAATTATTATCTGTCTTAGACTATTTTTCCACTCATTTCCTGTATTGTTAATCTTTAACATTATACTCTTTTGTATCAAGTCTTTCTTATCTTGTGTAGAGATACTGCTACTGTGGCTTCAAATTTCCTAACTGAAATATTTTACTCATTTCTGAAACTCCTCTAAGGGATTATGATCCATAACCTACAATGGGAATTGGAAGGTGATGCAATAGAATTAAAGTTGACTTAATGAACAGTGAAATGATTTCAAATTTGTAGTCAATGTTTTAGTGTTCTGTCTGTTCTTATTTTTAGAATGTACTTCAGAATCCTCATTAGTGCATACACACATTATTCTACAATGTTCTCACTGTGCTGAGAAAAATGTGTGTGTACTTGTGTATGTGTCACTGACTATGCTTTTAAAACAATCTTAATACAGTTCTGTGTAACTACATCTTTATATCACTTTTGTTTTTTTTAAAAGATAGCATTCTTTAAAATAATATATTTATGGACCATGAATATTAAAAATCTCATAAATAAGGAAACTTTCTGTATCATAACCAAATTTTTAAACAATAAAATTCATGTAAATTGTGTTTTTCATATTGCATATATATATATATATGACAGCAAGTTAACTGAAGAAAATTACAAAATGAGTAAGATATTAATTGAATTTTTGAGGGGAAAAGATTGAATCTTACAAACACAGGCAGTCATTTTTATGTTTTAATGTACCTTAATAAAAGCAAACCTTTACCTGTGCAAGCATGGGGAAGCCAAGGTTCCTACATCCATTACAAGGAGTTAATGCCTCCCAAAGTCCTGTGGGCCCACAAGTGTTTTCATCATCATCATCTTCTTCCACTTCGCCTGGTGACAAATTTATTGTAGATGAAGTTCTCTGAAATTAAATTTACATTATACCAATATATTATATCAATGTTATTTATGTATCTTAACATCAATCATATTATATAAAGTACTTGAGATCTATCTCAGCAAGCAAAAGTCAGCTCGCTTCTGTATTCAATTTAAGTTGAAAGTGAAAAAACTGGGTGAGAAAAATATAAAATAATGAAGTTCATAATGAAAAACAGGACATGATAAGGACCCAAGAAAATCTGTGAATAGCAATAAATGAGAAAATCTTATGGTTTATCAAGAATTTAACTTTAAGCATAAAATTAAGGGAAAATGCAATTAGAAAACTAACATAAAAACACTTGAATGAAATGGGAATTTTGCTATATCATCAAAAACATGCTTCGTAAAGATTTATATCATGGATAGTACAGGGGTGATACTATAAAACTTGTAAGACTTTCATGTTACAAATTTACTTTTATCACCTCCCAAATCCCACTAAAGAGACAGTAAAGGATTTGTAAAAATGTTTACACCACAAGGACAGGACAATAGGAGAAATGTTAGCAGATATGGAATACCAAGAAAACTTATGGACAATGTAGGGTAACTTTTGAATTAGAGATGGGTAGGGATTCCCTAATTTAACAAACTTGAAAACACTGGAAGTGAAGTGCTAA